AAGGAAGGAAGAAAACAAGGGAGGAAAAAAAAGGAAAGAAATGCCTGAATTGAAATATATTTTAGGGGCTGGGAAGATGGCTCAGTGGTAGAGCGCTTGCCTTGCATGCCTGAGGCCCTGGGTTCGATTCCTCAGCACCATATAAGCAAAAAGGAAAAAAGCCAGAAGTGGTGCTGTGGCTCAAGTGGTAGAGCGCTAGCCTTGAGCTGAAGTGCTGAGGGACAGCGCCCAGGCCCAGAGTCAGGCCCCACGACCGGACCCAAAAAATAAAAATAAAAAAAAGAAATATATTTTAAAAGATCTATCACCTCAAAGTCACCAGATTCTGATATTTTGGTGCTCTTAATTGAGTCTTCAATAAATAAAATAGTATTTCTGTGTGTGGTGGTACACTCCTATACTCCCAACACTCAAGAGATGAAAGCTGGAGAGTATCAAGTTCCAGGCTAGCTTAGGCTACATAGTGAGTCTGAGGACAGACCATGTTACATAGTAAAACCCAGTCTCAAAAACAAACAAGCAAGCAAACAAACAAAAACCACCACAGGGTTAGGGATGTAGCTCAGCAGTAGAGCACTTGCCTGACCTCTAGAATCCACAAAGCTCTGAGCTCTATGTCCAACATAGGAAAATAAAATATTCCCAATGGTTTATGCCTTTTAGTCAAAGTCCTCCAGGACTTTTTGTTGTTGGTGGTAGTGGTTGTGGGGCTTGAACTCTGGGCCTGCACGCTGTCCCTCAGCAATTCAGCTCAAGACTAGTGCTCTACCACTTGAGCCATAGTGCCACTTCCGGTTTTCTGAGTGTTTTACTGGAGATAAGAGTCTCATGGACTTTTCTGCCTGGGCTGGCTTTGAACCACGATCCTCAGATCTCAGCCTCCTGAGTAGCTAGAATTACAGGCATGAGCCACCCATGTCCTGCAATCCAGGACTTTTTTTTCCCTCTCATGAAGTATTTAAAGGGGCTGAGAAGGTGGCTCAGTGGTAGAGAGCTTGCCTTGCATGCCTGAGGCCCTGGGTTCAATTCCTCAGCACCACATAAGCAAAAAAGAAAAAAGCTGGAAGTGGCACTGTGGCTCAAGTGGTTGAGCACTAGCCTTGAGCTGAAGAGCTGAGAGACAGCGCCCAGGCCCAGAGTTCAGTCCCCACAACCGGACCCAAAGGAAAAAAAATGAAGTATTTAAAATGTTTTTCATTCAAACCACATTTTTGTGCCTACAGAAAAGTATACAATTGAAATGAATTTTCATAAAGTGAATACAACTCTGTAATAGGAGTTTAGCTCAAGGATCAGAATGTCACCAATACTCAGAAGCCCCCCTTCATGTATCCTTGAGGTTAAATGACACCTCCGCTCCCCCCAGCCACACATTGCTTGACTTCTAAAATCATAGATTAGTTTTATGTGATTTTAAATTTTATATTCGTGGACACGTATATACAGTATGCATCCTTTTGGCCCAGGCTTCCTGGGCTCAGCATCATGTCTGTGGGATTTATTTGTGTTTGTTATGTGTTGTTTTAATTAGTTCATCATTTTGCTGAATAATATCCTAGTGTCTAAACAGTCACCATAGTGTGTCCATTTTGTGGATGAACAGTCATTTGGCAGTTTCCAGCTTGGCAAGTTAAATTGGGTTGTTATGCACATTCTATACAGGTCTTCTGGAAAATTCATGCATTCATTCTAGCTGGTAGGGAGAGGGGCGTGTGTTTATTTTTAGCTTTCATCGGTAGTGCCAAACATTGCCCCACAACAGTTGTACCAATTTACAATGCACATCTTTCAGCCAAAGCCTCCAGAACATATCTCTAGTTTAGCAAGTTGGAATTCTCACTTGTATCAGCAGTGTAAGAGAATCCTGCTTGCTCAGTTTCCCACCACATTTAAAAGCAGAAAAAAGGGGAAGATTTCTGAATGCATTCTATAAGACAACTATTATCCTGACACAAAACTGAGAAAGAGTAGAAAAGGAAAATTATATGCCAATGCCACTTTAAACAGAGGTGGAAAGATACTAAAGATATAGGAACAAACTGAACCTACAAATATTTTTACAACGAAAGGACCAGATCGGTCTATTCCCAGTGATTTTGATGTATCATGTATTAATAAACTGTCTAGTTTTGAACTGGAATTTAATACATTAAAATTTATATTAACTTACATTAGTTATGTTTAAAAATCATTAAGTATCTTTTAGTTCATTGGCATTGATTATAGATTTTGATTTTCAAAAATCAAAGAAAAAAATCTTTAGATTTTGGGGAAAAAAAATCTTTAGAAAATGCAGAGCTGCCAGAAAAGCAGCTAGAATATCCATTTCCTACCTCTGATAATAAATAAATAAATCTTAGAATCAGAGAGATATAAAAATTCCATGCAGTCTTAGCTGGATGACAGTGGCTCATGCCTGTAATCTCAGCTGCTCAAGAGGCTCAGATTTGAAGGATCTCAGTTCATAGCCAGCCTGGGCTTTTCATCCACAAGATTCGAACCAGGAAAAAAGGAGGGCTTGAGACAAATGGTAGAGCACAAGCTGAGCAAGAGACCTTGAGTGCCCCAGTACTGGCACAAAAGCAAATCAAAGCCAGTGCATTGCCCCTTCAATTTACTTTTCAGGCTCATTGTTTATTATTGCTGCATATGCAGGCTAACCTCTGATTCACAGCTTTGATATTTCCCTTGTCTCTTGCACGTGGTACATGTCAGGGTATGGGCAAATTGTTTAACCACTTTGTGCTGGTTTCCTAGGTATATAAAGAAAATGACGGTATCTGCTTTATTTAGTAAGGACATTACCTTGGACATTAAGTGATTCAATGAATTATTTGATCACATTTTAATTACACATATTTGGACACTAGACATCTCAGTGAGCAGGGACTAATAGTGAAACCATTCTTAGTGTTAGGAAAATGGAGGAGAAAGGAAACAGACTGGATTTGATCTTAACAGGCCAGGATGGTTTATTGCCAGTGAGGGACACAGACCTTTCTGAAGGAATGGAAGAAGAGGGAGAAGTGAGAAGAAGCATGGTTATAATCTGAGGTGACCTATATAATCTAGGAGGCTTAGGAGGGGCTGGAAGGGGCTAGGAGGTGGAGACTCTGGTGTGCACGTGCAGGCCAGGGGCTTCATTATGGCAGACTAGGATTTATGGCTGCTATCCAAACAGTAGATAAGGGGTCCTACAGCTGCCCAGACCCGAAGGTCACTCTAAGGGGCTTTTGTTGCCTTCTATGGTAGTAGCTGCCCCAGAGAAGTGTCATCCCAAGGTAAAAGGGGTTGGAAGTGGATTATTTACTGCCTTCCCTACAAGGGCCTAGTGTTGTCTGGGAGCCTGCTAAGCTGTGGAGAAGGGAAGGAGTGGACTAAGCTATAGGAAGGGCGCTCATTTCACTAACATTAAGTCTTTGAAAACTGTCACAGAGATGTCTCAGAGATGGTCTCCCCAGGGAGCACATGCAGTCCAAGAAGTGTCCTGCTGGGGGAATGGACAAATTCCCAGATGTAAGGGGCATGGTTAAGGGCCATGTGTAAGGACGTCTGTGTATGTGTGTGTGTTTTATTTTTGTTTATTTATTTATTTATTGAGTCCGGTCGTGGGGCCTGAACTCTGGGCTTAGGTGCTGTCTCTGAGCTCTTCAGCTCAAGTCTAGTGCTCTACCAGTAGAGCCCCAGAGCCTCATGCATGCGAGGCAAGCACTCTAACCACTGAGCCACCTTCCCCAGCCCCAAGCCTTAAGTTTTTTTGTTTTTGTTTTTATCTGATCTTGGGGCCTGAACTCTGGGCCTGGGGCACTGTCTCTCAGCTCTTCAACTCAAGGCTAGCGCTCTACCACTTGAGCCACAGCGCCACTTCCGGCTTTTTTCTTTTTGCTTATGTGGTGCTGAGGAATCGAACCCAGGGCCTCAGGCATGCAAGGCAAGCGCTCTACCACTGAGCCGTCTTCCCAGCCCGTGTAGGTGTGTTTTATATTTCGGGTTTTTTGACCATCTGTTAGCGATTTCGCATGTAAACCTGTTGGTACCTTTAGGGCTGAGCTATGTCGTACGGTTTGGTTTGAGCTGTAGCCAGGACAGGAACTGATGCTGAGCCGAGTGTGTGGGGAGGGCTCCACCGTCTTCGCCCTGGAGAAGACATGCGATCTGCAGGTGTGGAGAGCGGAGTGGGGCCGGAGTCATTACCTCTGTTCAGTGCCGTGTGCAGCAGCGGGGCCCCGGGAGCGAACGCGGCCCACCCCGGCGCCCGGGCTCCGCCCCCCCCCCCCCCCCCCCCGCCCACGGGTGGGCGCGAGCAGGCGGAACCTTCGGCTTCAGCTCCCTGTTTCCCGCGACTCGGTCCCTAAGACTACACAACCGAGCGGTGAGCGCCTTCCTCCCCGCCCCCACGCCCGTGATAGCCTTTCCCGATAACGGGTTCCAGAGTATGTGGTAACTAATCCCAACCAAACGACTAACGGACACCCCCAACGACTCTGGGTAGTTTTCCTAAGCACCGGGCCCCCGGCGAGGCCCCACGAGATACCGGAGGGGGAGGGAGGGCGTTCCACACAAGCGCCGCCCGCACCGCCCCCTGCCTGCGTGGAGCAGGCGCAGTAGAGGCGCGCGGCACGAGCGGGGGGCGCGTGCGCGTGCCCCGGCGTGCGCGTGCCCCGGCGTGCGCGCGCCGCTTCGAGCTCACGCCTCCCGCCCGGGCCGCTGCAGGCCGGCGCGCCGCGCTCTACCTCACGCCACCCGGCCGCGTCGCTTCCCGACGCCCCCGTACCGTTGGAGCGATATCCTGAGGAGAAGTGGGGGACCGCTGGGAGGCAGCGGCGGGGAGCAGAGCGAGCCCTCCGAGTCCGGCGAGTGGCAGCGGCGAGGCGGCCGAGTCCCGCGAGGGGACGCGGAGCGAGTGGGCTGGGGACCCCTCGAGCCATCCGGGCCCGCGAGCCTGTTACCGCCACGCGATCCGAAGACCCAGCGGGCCGTGGGGGACGGGGGGTGGGGGGCAGCCCGAGCCTGGAGACATGGCTACACCGTTCCTGCCCGCCGGGGCCGCCACGGGCGACAGTGGCGGTGAGCTGAGCTCAGGGGACGACTCTGGGGATATGGAGTGTCTCCAGAGCCCCGAGAGCGACCCGTCCCGGAGCCTGGCGGAGCTGTTTGAGAAGGCGGCCGCGCACCTCCAAGGCCTCGTTCAGGTGGCCAGCCGGGAGCAGCTGTTGTACCTGTATGCCAGGTACAAGCAGGTAACGTGGGGAGGGGGTGCGTGCACGCTCGCCAGAGACCCTGGCCTCCTTCACTGTGAGCAGACGTGCACAGTCAATGACAAGGGGCTATGAAGTGTGTGTGTGTGTGTGTGTGTGTGTGTGTGATTGTTGTTGACCGCTGACCATTAGCATCGTTCTGGACCTGGGAAAGATGTGTCTTCCTGTCCAAGAGTGGTATTTATTTAGCCAGACACCGAATGACAGTTTTTCCTATGTCTTCTTGGACTTACTCAAGGATCTTGCACTTTAGCCAACTCTGAGGCTTTTACAATATGAGGATGCTAAAGTAAGATTGATCACGTATTTACCCTTGCCTAAAGATCCTGTGGAAGTATACATGGTAATCAAGGTATTTTAAGATCTAAGAGAATAATGCGATTGTAATAAATAAAACATAGATATTTTTTTTTTAAAAAAGGAAAACCAGAATCGTTATGGCTGGATATGTTTATCTGTTTATGACTAGATATATTTCTGGGGGCTGGGAAGGTGGCTCAGTGGTAGAGCGCTTGCCTTGCATGCATGAGGCCCTGGGTTCCATTCCTCAGCACCGCATAAGCAAAAAGAAAAAAGCCAGAAGTGGCGCTGTGGCTCAAGTGGTAGAGCGCTAGCCTGGAGCTGAAGAGCTGAGGGACAGCGCCCAGGCCCAGAGTTCAGACCCCACGACCGGACCCACACAAAAAAAAATGTGTTTCTGTTACACATCATCAAAGGTTATACTATGGAAAATACTCCCAGGTTTGAAACATACACCCAAAAGAATTAGAACTAGTAAACTCCAGATGAAATAATCCTTGCTCCCCCTCACCCCCCAAGATAGGATGGCTCTCTTTATATTGCCTAGTCTGGTGTAAAATTCTGAACTCAAATTATTCTGCCTCAATTTCCTTTTCTTTTACAAAAACAATAAAACCAGAGTAAGCAACTTGTGTAGAATCACAAATATCAGTCAGCGTTGGATTGTATTTCTGATTCTGTCTGAGGCTTTGAACTTTACCTAGAAGTATGGAAATGATGATTTTTGTTACCTATATAATCCACATAAACCACATTTATCATTCTTGGAGTTGTTAGGTAAAAGAAGGAAAAATGCTTTATCAATATCAGCAAATATTGATCAGCATCTTAGGTGCTAAACATTTTGAGTGTCCTGTATAGAGAGTTCAATGAAGGAAAAGCATCATGAATGACATTTGCCCTTAGGAGGCTTACAAGATACTTGAGAAATATAGATTTAAACATACAAAAATTTACTGGCGGGAGTTGAGTAAGAGCTCAGGAAAAGGTCTTTGTAACACTTCAGGAAATGAAGTTCTGGATAAAAGACTATTTTATCTAAAAATTTTTAGGGTTTTCTTTTTGCCTCTTGGTAGGACTACCTTTTTTAAGAACAGTTGTGAGAGGTTCCATTGTGAGTAGAGATGAACCTTTCTTTGAAGACTGATGCTTTTGATGAATATCCGTGTGACAGAGATATAGCTGCAGGTAAAAGTGACATAAATTATAGTGTTCAGTGAAAATTGTCCCAAATTGACCTTGGAATTAGTTTTCTTGCAAAAGTTCTCTCCCCTGTCTTCCCCTTTCCTCCCCTCCCCATGGTTATGTGAATCCAAATTTCTTCAAATACATCAGCCAAAGCAACATCCAGTAATAGACTGGATACTTAACTGCAGCAGTTAAGTATGACAATACAAATGTGCCAGACATTAAAGGGATTTACAAAATGTAAAACAGTGCCAAGTTTCTTACTGAATTTTTTTCAGTTTAGAATATGTGGTTAATTGACCCAGATGTTATGATACATATCTGTAATCCTAGTTGTTTGGGAATGAGGGTTAGGAGGATTGTAGTTTGAGACTGACCCAGACAAAGTTAGCACCCTGACCAAAAAACTAAAAGCAAAGTGCTGGGGGAGTGAGTCTACTTATAGTGTGCTGCTCAAAGCCCTGGGTTTAATTCCCAATACTAGAAATTTTTTTTTACATAAACTGTAGTCACTTATGTTCACACATAATAGGTTTATTGCTATTTTCAGGTGAATTAGTACATATTTTAAAATACCTCTTCTAAATTTTAATATGTAGTATATAATGATAGATATTATATTTAATATGTATTTCGTATATATTGATTGGTATGATCTACATATGCAGAAACTCTTCGTGGTGCTTAATTTCTTTGTAAAGGAATTATAGGCCCCCAAAATTTTGAGAATTGTCTCAAATTCCCTTTTCAGGGCTGGAGAGTCTTATGATCACCATATGTATGTTCTAACCAGGGCAAAGAAAAATGAGAGAATGAGCCCTTTAAAGATGTTTCATGGCTTTCACACACATTGAATCCTGAGAACCTAGACAGAAATTGTGTGTCCTTGTGTACTTGTGGGTTAGGTGACTGTTACTTGAGAAAAAGAGAACAGATTCTGACATTTGTTCCAGTACTGGCTGGTGTCTGGGCCAAAATAACAACAATAGCCACAAGTGCTATTTTTATAATATCTTATTTTGTATAATTTGGCTCTTTATATTTCTAACCATCTAGTAGTTCATGTGATTTCAGAATTGCCAGAACTGAAGCCTAGATTCTGAATGGCATGAAAAGTAGAATGATATAGTGAAGGACTATTAGACTTGGAAGGAATATTAGAATTAGACCTGAATCAAACAGGCCTAGACTCAGACTTTGACTGCTAATAAGGACCTATCAATGTATGAACTGTGACACCTTTTGAGTATCTTTACTCTCATTTATAAAATGAGTTTATAATGATATATCTCACAGGGTTATTGTGTGCCTTGTTTAAGATAACGTGAAGCATTTCTAGTAGTGGCTGAAGAAATGCAGTGCCTTTTCTCTCAGCTAGACCTCCATTCCTTCATAACAAGACTGCTCCTGCAGAAATATACATTTTAATAACAACCAAAGGTCCACAGAATTTATTGCTCAGGAAGTGATTTTGTGTGTGTGTGTGTGTGTGTGTGTGTGTGTGTGTGTGTGTGTGTATTCATAGGTGGAGGAAATCACTGTAGACTGAAAGAGTTCTTGGATCATGACTTAGATTAAGTCTAGACAGAGCAATAGTATTTTGGCAAGTTGAGAGAAGAGAGGCATTTCAGTTGAGTGACTCTGGGCCTGAGCGCTGTCCCTCAGCTCTTCAGCTCAAGGCTAGCATTCTACCACTTGAGCCACAGCGCCAAGAGCTGGCTTTTTTTTTTTCTGGTTATGTAGTGCTGAGGAATCGAACTCAGGGCCTCATGCATGCAAGGCAAGCGCTCTACCACTGAGCCACCTTCCCAGCCCCCTGAACTTTAAAGATTAGTAATTGTATGTTTAAAACAATCTCTATTAACTAGGTGTCAGTGGCTTATACCTATAATCCTAGCTACTCAGGAGTCTGAGACCTAAGCACGATAGTTTGAAGCCAGCCCAGGCAGGAAAGTCTGTGAGACTCCAATAAACTACCCCGAAACTCCAGAAGTGGAACTGTGGCTTAAGTGGTAGAGCACTCACCTTCAGCAAAAAGGTTCAGGGACAGTGCCCAGGCCCTGAGATCAGCCTCAGGACTGGCGTGCAAGTGTGTGATCCTGCACACACACACACATCTTTATTTTAAAGACAAAGAATGCAATGTACATTTATAATTTGTCTTATAATTAGTCTATTTTAGAAATTAACTGTCACCCATACTTTTTTCTGTATTATAGTATTAGATAATATTTTTTAAAGATTTTTATCTTTAGTTCAAAAGGGTTTCAATTCAACATGTCAGTTTATGAGTAAATGTATCTAGGTCAATGTTACCCCTTCTGTCTTTCTCTCCTGTCTCTCCCAACTCCACAGATACACTCAAATTACCTGGTTCCATTTTTACATATATACATTGAATATTATGACTTAGATAACAATTACTTTTTCAGTAAGCCAAAACTGCCTGTTTATAAGGTTTGGTTTGTTTGTTTGCTTTTGTAAAAGGAAAAGTCATTTTGTTATTCTGTATAGATGAAAATACTTTCTAACCTTAATTTCTAAGCATACATAATTTGTAAAGAAAAAATTTTAGACAATTACTGGAAAAATAAAGTTCTTGATTTTTTTTCTGTTCACTTCTTTTAGGTCAAAGTTGGAAATTGCAATACTCCTAAACCAAGCTTTTTTGATTTTGAAGGGAAGCAAAAATGGTAAGCAGTCCTTGAAATCTTTAATGAAGTTGTTGGAAATGAGTTAGGTGTTTAGGAATTAGACAGTAGTGAGCAGATTAAAGTATTTTTATGTTAATCTCTCTTATGGTCTGTGCTAGTGGCAGGCAATTGGGAGGATTAAAAGAATCAGCTTTTAGCTAAGTCTCTTCTTATGCAATGATGTAGGTATGTAAGTAGTTTACAATATCTATGCATTTCTTTAAAAGTATGTCTGTGCTTACCCACAGAGATACTGTTGGAAGGTTTTTCTTGTCTATTATACATCTCCTAATGGTTCACTACTTTTCTTTGGAGCTATCTTTGAGAGAAAACCAAAAGGATGGAGGGAGAAGAAAACATTTTGTACTCTTTTCCTCTGCCCCAATTTGATCTTCTTGATATGGCACTATTCTATTCTTTGTTCTACCCACACCATAGGAAAGAAATGCTTATGATAACTTCTTGGGAATAAGATACGGATTCAAATACTCACTTCACTTCTCTGATTAGGGAAAGATGAGTTTCTCCCTAAAGTTTTACTTATAAAGGTTCTGACATATCATTTATAAGGCCTTTTTTTTCTTCATGCATTTGTTATTGTTATTATAAAGGTGATGTACACCTTTATACAATTATATGTCAGAAAGAGTTACAATTATATAAATTACAATTATGTAAGTTACAATTATATAAATCAGATAAAGAGTACATTCCTTTTTGAAGAGTGTTAGCCCTTCCCTAGCTCTCTCCGTTTTTCCCTCCCATACCCACTCACAAATTTAGTTCATTTTCAACATAGTGTCTAGTGAGTACCACTGCTTCATTTGTTCACCCTTTGTCCCACAAATTCTGTGTCCCCCCCCTTACCCTCCCAAAGACAGATAAACAAAAGGAAAAGAAAACAAAAATAACATAAAGAAAAACCCCTCTTATTTCCGTTTCCTAGAGTTTATTTCAATACGTATTATTTTATCTGATCAAATAATGCTTATTTTTCTTATGTAGTTTAAGTGAAAAAACACGTTTCCTATACAATAAAGAGCATTATTTAGTGAAGAGGGAAGATTTTGGAGCATCAACCCTGAATTAAATGAATAATTTAAATATTTAGGGTATAGTTTAAAATTTTTTATTATTATAAAGGTGATGTACAGAGGGGTTACAGTTAAGTCGGATAATGAGTATATTTTTGAACAATGTCACCCCTTCCTTGCTCTTTTCCAGTTTTTCCCTACCATCCGCACCCACAAGTTGTATAGTTCATTTTCAACATAGTGGCTAGTGAGTATCACTTTGCATTTGTTCATCCTTGAGGGTATCACTTTTCAAAAAGATGAAATATGTTTGAAGGGAGAGGAAATGCTAAAGGATGGGTTCTGGATCAGATGTATTCAGCTACTTAGGAGGCGAAGATCCAGAAGACTATAGTTTGAGGTCAGCCTGGACAAAAATTTACAAGATCCACTTGAAACAGTACAGCCAGGTGTGGCTACATGCCCTTGTTATCACAGCTGTGTGGGAGGCTATAGATAGCAGGATCTCAGTCAAGACTGGCACTAGGCAAATAAAATAAAATAAAATAAAAAAAGTGAATCCCTATCTGAAGAAATAACCTAAAGCAAAAAGGGGTGACAGAATGGCATAAGTGACATAGTGCATGAAAAAAACGTAGATTATAACCCTTTATTCTACCATGGTCCTGTGTAATATGCAATCGCCTGAACAAGTGGTCTGTCTGCCAGCTATTTGTTGCCCAACTGTAAGAACTGAACTTGAATCTGGATCTCAGTTCCTTATGTCATATTCTAGTTCAGCTGCCATACATATTTCTTTAAAATAAGACATTCTTAGTAAAGAAAACAGTGTTTTAATTTACATTCTGGTTCAAGTTTTAATTTTTCTTGCTGATGACAAATAGTTCTCTGGCATTTTATTACTGTTCTAGATTACCTGATTTAGGGGAAGGGGCAATGCTAAGGGAACTTGGCCATTTACATCCCCAGCCCTTTGATAATTTTTAGTTATTTTTTCAGATAAGATCTCACATTTTTTTCTCTTTTAAAAAATTTTTAATATATATTTTTATTGTAAAGATACTGCACAGAGGAGTTACAGTTACATGAGTAAGGTAATGAGTACATTTCTTTTTTTATTTATTTATTTTTATGAGTACATTTCTTATTGAGCATTTTCACCTCCTCCTTTGTTTTTCCCCTACCATCCCTTCCCTCCCCACCTCTGCCAACTGCTCTGTGCCCCCCCCCTCCCGCCCTGAAGTTGTAAAGTCCATATTTTGTACATCTCATTGTTATGGTGGGTCAACCTGTATCCTTATTTCAACATTTGTTATTTCCCTTCCCCTCCACAAATTAGAAAAATGTATATACAAGATTCAGGGCACCAGAATCAAATACAGTGAAAACAGGATTATACATGGGGGAAGAACATACAAAAGAAACAAAAAATCACATAGTACATTATAAATACATTAAAAACAACAGCACAGAAAGATAAAACCTCTTGTGTCCCTATCTTGGGGTTCATTCAGCTTAGCATCAACTTATATGATCATATGTACATAGTTTTTGACCTTTTCTATTTGTCCTAGACATATACTAGTTATTGCAAATAAGGGAAACCATGGAACCTATGTTTCTTTGAGCCTGGCTTACTTCACTTAATATAATTTTTTCCAAGTCTTTCCATTTCCTAACAAATGGGGTGATGTCATTCTTTCTGATGGAGGCATAGAATTCCATTGTGTATATATACCACATTTTCTTGATCCATTCATCTACTGAGGGGCATCTGGGTTGGTTCCATATCTTAGCTATGGTGAATAATGCTGCGATAAACATAGTTGTGCTGGTAGCTTTAGTATGGCCTTGTTTGTGATCCTTTGGGTAAATGCCCAAAAGTGGGATTGTTGGGTCATAGGGGAGCTCTGTGTGTTGTCTTTTGAGGAACCTCCACACTGCTTTCCAAAGTGGTTAAACAAGTTTACACTCCCACCAACAATGTAGTAGTTCCCTTTTGGCCACATTCCCTCCAGCATCTGTTGTTAATAGATTTCTTGATTATAGCCATTCTAAGGGGTGAGGTGGAATCTCAGTGTTGTTTTGATTTGCATTTCTTTCATGGCTAGAGAAGTTGAGCATTTCTTCATGTGTCTATTAGCCATTCTTATTTCCTCTTCAGAGATGTCTCTTTAAGTCTTTAGCCCACTTATTAATCGGGTGGTTGTTTCTTTGAGGATTTGTTGTAGGGGATTTAATTTGAAGAGTTCTAAGTATATTTTACATATGAGAAAGTCTCACATTTTTAATCCTGTCTGGTCTCAGACTATGATCCCCTAACCTATTTCTCTCATAGGTGGGATTATACGTGTGTACCATCATGTAATACTTACTTGTTCAAATAACACGAAGTCTTATTAATTTTTTGAACTATAATCTTCTCAATCTCTGCTTTCCAAGTAGCTACAACTACAGAAGTGAGCCACTGTACCAAGCCTCGTTTTCTAGAGCAGGTGCTTTACTACTTGAGCCATCCTTTTTGTGTTGCTTATTTTTGAGGCAGGGTCTCACTTTATGGCCAGCCCCTTCTGGACTGCCATCCTCCCACTTATTTCTCACTGCATTGTCGGGATGAGAAGTGCCTATCACTGTGTCTAGCTATTGATTCAGATGAAATCTTGTGGATTTTTTTTTTTTGTTTCTTGAACTGGACTCACCTCAAATTGTGATCTCCATGTCTCTGCCTCCCAAGTACTAAGGCTACAGTCTAAGACTTCATTATTATTTTCTTCTATGACTTATCTATGTTTCCATTGTTTCTAGCAGTTAAGTAAGTTTAGATTGTATAGCCACCTAAAAATAACGCATTATTATTAAGCAAGAATCAACATTGAAAGCCAAAACGTTATATGACATACTACTGGAGAGTAATATTTACATAGTCTAACCACAGTTTACTTATTAATTATGAAGGAGAAAACTGACAGATACTGCTATCATCACCAATCCATCAATCACCATAATGACTGCACAGAGCAAAATCGTGTGTCCCCAGTTGGTATACATATAAAGGACATGCCTCTGATATATTACTGTTACTTAAATATTTAACCTGTTTTTAATCATGATTAATTATTTTCACAACAATACTATGTAGGTTAAGAAACAATTAGACAAATCCAAATTGAAGAGGATTTCATAAAACAATTAATTGGTTTTAACTCCTGAAAAGGGTCAGTATCATGGAAGACAAAGTCAAAAGATACATGAATTCAGTGCTGAATTGAATCTTGGTAGGAAAGTCGTAAATGAAGTCCTAAAGGATATTGTTTAGGAAATCAGGAAAATCTGAACATTTGGTCTCTATAATAAGTTTCCTAAGTTTGATTTAAGCTGATGAATTTAAGGATGAAGTATTACAGTATATACAAGTAACCTTCAAGAGTTGCAGTAAAAATAATTTAGAAAACCTCAGAAGGATGCCATTTTCATGCAAGAGTAGGAAGATTGCAAAAAAATCTGTTTTACGGTGGATCAGAGAAATAGAGAATCATGGTTAGAAAGAATGGTAGAAAGAATTAACAGTGAAAAACCAAGGAGGTCTAGCCAGCAGCCTGAAGAGAAAAAGAAAGGGTCAGCACAAAAATGGGCACAGGACTAAAATGTTATCTTGGATTTATACTGTCTGAAATTCCTCCCTCCTTCCTCCGTAGAATACTTGATTCCACTCTTACCAACCCCTACCTTTGATGATCCAAATTGTAGCTATCAGTGGGTTTATAAATGGCATAACAGCAGAAACGGAAGATGGACTTCTCATACCTTAAAGAGAGAAGTTTGGTTCATTTTTTTCAGGAAATACCATTTCTTCTGTGATGATTAGTTTCCACATTACCAAAATGTCATTAAGATTGTTAATTTGTAATATGGAAACTACCTTTGTTAGTCTGTTGGGTCTTTCTTATACGGTCAGTCAAAAATTGAATTTGGGAGAAGTGATTAATATCATTTATTATGATGGTTTGTGATCTTCTAGAATTTAACAGGTATCATCATATTATTAAAATTTCTGGGGCTCCCTGGTAGAATGCCTGCCTAGCAAGTGTAAGGTCCTGAATTCAAACCCTAATACTGTCAAAAATAAAGTCATAAGAGAAAATTTACAATATGTATCCTTAAGTGGAGTGATCATGTTTACACTGTTGAAGATCAGCTTAAGAGCAAAAAAAAAAAGGGATTTTCTTTTATTCATAGCTTATTATCTATGTGTTCTAGACTATATGTAGTATTTTAACAAATATAAATATAAAATAAATACGCTGTTAGTGATATTTACATAGTTACTGATAGGCTTTTTTAAAATCTTCTTTACTGTAGGGAAGCATGGAAAGCACTTGGTGACTCAAGCCCCAACCAAGCAATGCAGGAATATATTGCAGCAGTTAAAAAATTAGATCCAGGTTGGAATCCTCAGGTAAGACTTTGGATTGTACATAATACTTCCCCAAAATTTCTCTTTCAAACAAGTGTTTTAAACTGAAGTTTGGTTTAAGAAACATGTTTTGAATTTTGCCTTCCTCAAAAGTCTAGTTCCTGCAATATTTATCTGAGAATAGTATTGCTTAAACATAACAGCTATTCTTACTGAGAACGTCTCTAATTTGTAGAGAATTTTTAGAAGTATAATATAAGTAAATAAATATAACAAATTTATATTTACTTATAAATAAGTAAATACAATGGGTGGTATGAAAATGCATACAAATGTATTAATTGAAGTACATTAGATGTAAGGGAGAACTCAGTAGTGTAATTCCTTCTGAAGACAAAGTCAAAGTTAAGCAAAATAAAACATCAGGAAGTAGGTACTTGAAAGGGGTGGGTCAAGGGGCAAGAAGTAGACAAAGGAAGAGAAGGGAAGAGTGTAATCAAGAATCCTACAAATATATATCCTACAAAATTAAGAATAGGGAGGGAAGGGATGAGTAAGGGATTGATGGGTGAGAATATTGAAAGATTGAAAGGGGTGACATTGATCAAGATATATTCATAAACTGCTTTGTTAAATGGCAACTTCTTTGTATAACTACTTAAAAAACAATCATAATAATTTATGAAACAAATACTGGTTAGGATGCAGAGGAATATGAAGGGTCAGATTCAGATTTTACCCTGCTTATAAGCTCAGTTATCCTGCTATTCTGTCTTAGATGTTTGCAGTAGGCATAAGATGCTTGAGTCCCCAAAAGTCTGTTCTTCATAGCATGGCAAATTCATAAGCTTTGTTTAGTTTACATTGATTTCTTAGGTTCACCTAATCCCACAGGAATGACATTGGTGGGTCTATTGGATTCTTGCATATGTAGTGGATTGTGTTATAGGGAAGAAGTACTGAACTCTGAGGACTTAACATTTTTATAGCATATAGAAGCAAGGTTGGAGAGATGTTATCTTGATCCTGAAAGTGGTTTGCTGCCCAGCAATCCTGAGGAATGGCTTAGGTAGACAGTGGTCAGGGCCTGGTTTACTGAACAAGATTGTCTAGTGATAATCATATTGATATGTGCATATTGATATCAGTTGAGACTCATGGATTTCTGTTTTATTCAGTGGGGTACAATCCACTAAAATAATTTATTTGACCACTAGGAGCCCCTTCAAGAACAATGTCTTCATTGTTCTTGGGATTAAAGCCATGTTATGCTCAGCTTTCATTTTTTAATTTTCTGACACAAGATATTTCAAGTTGTATTAATATCCTAGGACAGTTGTAAACAATAGATACTCTGTTACAGTTTCAAACAACAGAAATTGATTCACAGTTCTGTGTGGTAGAAGTCTGAAAGAAGGTGTTAGCAGTTATGTTTCCTTTGAAGGTTATAAAGAAGAATCTTTCCTTGGCTCTTCTAATGGCTTGAGGTAGTCTTTCCTTTGGAATAGCCTAACTTCATCTCTGCTTTTCTCACCTAGTTGTCTTCTTATGTCTGTATTTAAATTTCCTTCTCCTTTCTCTCATACCAGCATGAGTCATTGGGTTCATTGGATTTAGAATCCCCTCCAATCCAACATGTTCAGTTATATATGCAGACTTTCCTAGTAAGGTCTCATTCACAAGTGCCTAGGTTAGGACATAGACACACTTTCTTGGAGGACACAATTCAGTCCACTACATTGGCTCATCAGATACTTTTCTTTTAACCCTGGAATCAGCTGTTTTCCTCTGGTTCCTATTAATAGAGAATATATTTGTAAACTAAGGTGTGGATGTTGGGTATGGTTATTGCTATTGGGCTTACATTGTTTCTAGGCCCTCTCAAACAGACAGACCTTAATAACATTTAAATATAAGTATGGGCTGGGAATGTGGCTTAGTGGTAGAGTGCTTGCCTAGAATGCATGAAGCCCTGGGTTCAATTCCTAGGTACCACATAAACATAAAAAGCCAGAAGTGGCGCTGTAGCTCAAGTAGTAGAGTGCTAGCCTCGAGCAAAAGAAGCTCAAGGACAGTCAGTGCCCAGGCCTTGAGTTCAAGCCCCAGGACTGCCCCCCCCCAATATGTGTGTGTATATGTAGATATGTTATTTATGTGTATAGATATGTACACTTACATATATGTGGATTCATAAACACATTCTCTATAAATATTTGTAATGCACATAAATACTCGAACACAGACATATGTATATAAATTGTCATGATATATCCCATATAAATAAATAGTTATATATTTAAAACCACAAGTTCATATTGAAGCCTTTAAATTCCAGCTCAGCACTATTGTGTGCATTCTTGTCTTCACTCTTCCACTTATTTCTAACTCCTTTTTTTCAGTAGGACTCTCACTCTTAATCTCCTCAATGTACTAATTCATTTGCTTCAGCCTAGGGTACCAAGTAGTTTCAATATTGATAATCTATATCACTGTGAAAAATAAATTTTGAACTGAAGTTTCTATTCATAGTTTCATTTTAGGTAAAGTTAATGTACAGTGAAATATACAAATCTTTTTTTTTTTTTTTTTTTGGCCGGTCATGGGGCCTGAACTTTGGGTCTGGGCGCTGTCCCTCAGCTCAAGGCTAGCGCTCTACCACTGGAGCCACAGCACCACTTCCAGCGTTTTCTGTTTATGTGGTGCTAAGGAATCGAACCCAGGGCTTCATGCTTGCAAGGCATGCACCCTACCGCTGAGCTACCTTCCCAGCCCCGAAATATACAAATCTTAACTGTATAATTTGATGAGTTTTGATGAATAAGGCAGTTTTGTAAAAGCATTGGTGAAATTGGAAAATAATTGCATCCTAGACACCTTGTATTTGCTGTTATTTGATTCATTGGCCACTTGGGAAACTGAGATTGTTTTTATGCGAATGCCCTAAACCATAAGTAACAGTGTTCTGAAGTTGCTGCCTTGCTTGTAAAGAAATAACATTGACATGTGATGTAACTCTACTAAACTCTTAAATTCTATAGTAATTTTAATGTATTTTCTACTTTGGGCAAAAAAGATATTTTATAGCCTGATAATATATTAACAGTTCTGGAAGGTGGTGTTTTCATTATTATTTTTTTTTGTTGGTCGTGGGCCTTGAACTCTGGGCCTGGGTGCTGTCCCTCAGCTCTTCAGCTCAAGGCTAGCACTCTACCACTGGAGCTACAGTGCCACTTCCTGGAAGGTGGTGTTTTTTAAATGAAAGACTTATATGGTTTTTCTATAATTCCTAAATAACACCTGATATGTTTTCCATAGCTCTTTTGAAGAGCTTCTTGTTCTCCGGTGTGTAATATGATGGCTACTATTTTTTGTGAGTCCTATGCAAAGGATTTTGAGTACTGATAGCAGAATGAGGAAATTTGATCTTTAGTAATACCTCATTGATTAAAAGTATTTTGATATGTAATTAAAATTTATTCTAATATTTAAAAGATTACTGTTTCATGATGAATCAAATATAAACTGAAACATTTTGTTCTTTTATTACTGTTCTTGGGATTGAATTCAAGGCCTTGTGCTTGTTAAAACCCTTTGCCACCTTAGCTATACCTCTTTGGCGTCCCTTCAGGTTATGTTATTTTATCTATCTGTCTGTCTGTCTGTCTATCTATCTATCTATCTATCTATCCAGTTATTTTTTGAGGTGCAGGTTCTCCCTATCTTTGCCTGGTTGGCCTTAAATTTAGTATTCTCATACATTTGCCTTTGAAATAGTTGGGATTATAAGTGTGTGCCACCATGCCTCACTTTAGAAGATTTTATTTTGGCAGTACTGCCATTTGAATTCAGGACGTCACACTTGCTAAGTAGGCATTCTGTCACGTAAGCCACATCTTCAGCCTTCCTGCCTTAAAAGATCGTAATTGCCTTGAATTTGAATTTGAATCCTAAAATCAGACACTCATTTATTCCATAAAATGGAATACATGGTTTTGTTTTTGTTTTTGGCCATAGGGCTTGAACTCAGGTCCTGGGCGCTGACCCTGGTATTTTTTGCTCAATACTAGCACTCCTACCACTTTGAGCCACAGTGCTACTTCCAGTTTTCTGGGGGTTAATTGCAGATGTGTCATGGACTTTCTAGGTTGGCTTTGAACCACAGTTCTCAGATCTCTGCCTCCTGAGTAGCTAGGATTACAGGCATGAGCCATGAGTACCCAGCTAGTGTTTTCTTCTTCTTTTCAAATATCTGTTAAAGTATTACTAGTCATTCAGTTTACACATTAATACTTACTATGTGTAATTTGCAGCTCTCAGACTGGAGATAAAGCAATTGGTAACGCAAAAGAGTAGTCCCTGAAGTTATGGAGTTTACAATCTAACAAAGATAGTAATAAGACAAATAAATACTAAAACGTATTACTAAATATAGTAGGTGATTAGAAGGTGGTTAATACTATGAAAAGAATGCAGAGGAGGATAGGGTTATAGGAAGGAGAGTTAGAATTTTAAATGTTATGATCAAGGAATATTCACAGAAAATGTGCCACTGATAATAACTTTGAAAAAGTGACACTGAGCTTAATACTGGGGAAGAACATTCCACAGACCAGTGGGAACAGTCAGTATGAATATCTAAGGCAGAGTCATCTTTACTGTGTGGTAGAAACTGCCAGGTCTGAATGGGGGAGGGAGTGAGGGGCAGAGAAATATAAAATACGGTTGGGCTGGGTACATATGTTGTAAGGATTATAGTTTTTACTCTGAATGAGAAGAGGAATATACTCTTGATTGTAAATGTGTGAAAAGGTAAAGGTATTTGTTTATATTGCTTAATAAATATATTTTAGGAAATCAGTACAGGCCTTATGTAAATAAAAAACAATATAGAAGAGTATAAAATGATACTTTAAAAGTCCCTCACCCCTCACACTCATACATTTCTATTTCTTAGTTCTATCTTTCCACTTTTTATATAATTCTGCAGAGCTATTCCCCCTAACACTCAACTCTATTTTAAAAAACTTAGTCTCTGTAAATTG